ACGTGTGTGTGTGTGTGTGTGTGTGTGTGTGTGTGTGTGTGTGTGTGTGTGTGTGTGTGTGTGTGTGTGTACACTCACAACATCACCTTGCCATCCATCCATGTGCTCCTCGTCTCCTCAATTTACTTTCCCCAACTATTACCATTCGTCCAAACGGCTAACCCAAACCACCCCCCTGCGCCGCCAATCACCACTGTAGACTGTTCCCCGGCCGCGTGTCAACAACATCGTCGTCTTCGTCACTGCCACCGCCATCACCATCACCAGCACGGCAACGCCAGGCACCTGCACGCACCACCAGCACTCCGTCGCCTCCACCTCAAACGCAGCAAACCACAACGCTGCAGGTAGACAGTGCATCGAGTGCCCACAACAACGACAACGACGACAATAGCGACATCACAGCCACAGGCAGGATAAGTGATGGTGGTGGTGGCGATGATGGTGAAAGCAGTGACGATGATGAAAGGGAGAGCAGCAAACCGCGAGCGCTCTCTCCCGTGGCGGAACTGGCAGCAGCCACGACAGCTGCACGTGACGGTGACGGTGATGGTGAGCCTGGTGCAGGTGGTACGAGTTATGTTAAGCAATGTGATGATGACAACGGAGGAGGGGAGAGGCACAATGTCACTACGACTGTGTCATCCACCACAACGCAGACACCCCCGCACGTACGACAACAACAACACCAACACCAACAACACCAACAACAACAACACCAACAACAACAACAACAACAACAACAACAACAACAACAACAACAACAACAACAACAACAACAACAACAACAACAACAACAACAACAACAACAACAACAACAACAACAACAACAACAACAACAACAACCGCAGCAGCAGCAGCAGTCTCTTCCCGGTCCAACACCGTCCAAATCAACACGCCAACCAGCCCCACGTGACACCACCACAACCACTGTCGCCACAGCCAACAACGGCAACATCAACAGCACCAGCACCACCAGCACCACCACCAGCAGCGGGGGTGGGAACGCGATTGCGATGGGAATGGCGGCTGTTGGGCGGTCGTCCATGTCGCGGATTGGGCGAGGTCTACAGGGGTTCGCAGCGATGGTCCACAGGCGCACGTCGGTGTCACACCACCACCAGCAGCAGCAGCAGCAGCAGCAGCAGCAGCAGCATGTTGCTGATGACGGTGGTGGCGTTGTTGATGGTGGTGGCAGTGAAGGCGGTGACAGCACCGATAGCGGTGGAGACTCGAAGCATCAACGCAAACAGCAGCAGCAGCAGCTGCTGCAGCAACGACAACCACAGTCCCCACCACCACCACCATCATCATCATCGTCATCACCATCTGCGTCGTCGGCATTGCCGCGGGGACGAGGGCGGCGATCAACGGGTGACGCGTGAGTCAACACACGCGCGCTGATGTACTTGTGGTGTTGGCGTACGTGTGTGTGTGTGTGTGTGCGTGCGTGCGTGCGTGTGTGTGTGTGTGAATGCGTCTGTGTGTTTATGTGTGTGCGTGTGTGTGCGTGTGTGTGCGTGTGTGTTTATGTGTGTGCTTCATGTGTCCACGCGTGGTCTGCTGTGACTGCTCACTCTTCTCATTTTCCACGTCAACAGAAGGGCCCTTGCGAACGCCCGCGCAAACGAGCGGTACTTTCATGCACGTGTGTGTGTGTGTGTGTGTGTGTGTGTGTGTGTGTGTGTGTGTGTGTGTGTGTGTGTGTGTGTGTGTGTGTACGTTCGTCCTTGTATGCGCTTTGCTGTGGCATGGATTCCTGTGTCCTTCAGTCACCACCACCGACGTCATGTCACCACCACCACTAATGCGCAGTTACGTGGAGGACCTGAAGCGGAGCGTTGCGCGTCTGCAAATGGAAAACGCGAAGAATGAAGAGCGAATCCTGGTGAGATCGCTGACACATGCATACGGGTTGCACATGTTGGCGGTGATCGTCGCTGCTTCTGCTGCTGTCATAATCAATGGTGTTACAGCTGTGCATGCACCTTACGTGCTTGTGTGTGTCTGTGTGTCTGTGTGTCTGTGTCTGTGTGTCTGTGTCTGTGTGTCTGTGTGTGTGATTCCTCTTCTGCGATGGCACACACATGCTCATCACCACACTCCTCGCCCCGACACGCTTACACACCACCACACCACCGCCGCCGCCATGAGCAGGACCTGTACAAGCAGAATGTCGCGAAGGACGCCGTGATTCAGTACTGCACCGTTCCCGACACGCCCGAACGCGTCGAACTCTTCAGTGCGTTGGGGCAGTCGACGCGGGAGGGCGGCTTGAAGTTGTGTGTGTGTGTGTGTGTGTGTGTGTGTGTGTGTGTGTGTGTGTGTGTGTGTGTGTGTGTGTGTGTGTGTGTGTGTGTGAGTTGTGCGAGTGCAAGTGGGTGGGTGTTGTGCGAGTGCAAGTGGGTGGGTGTATGTGTGAATGTACCTAGTATTGCAGCTCCTCTTGTGTACTCATACACACACATACACACACACACTCTCTCTCTCTCTGTATTTTTGTTTCACACTCGAAATACCCCACTTCAACACCTCCCCTCCCCTCCCCCCCCCTTCCCCAAATTGTTCTGAACACCAGAGGAGCGATCTGTGCGTCTCGATGCGCTGCAGGACGAACTGAAGGCCGCAATGGTCGAGATTGACACTCTGCAGAAGAAGAAGACAAAGGTGAGGGAGGTGGTGGTGGTGGTGGTGGTCACGAGTGATGGTTAACAGGAGGTGTGGTGGAAGAGTTGAGTGTGTACAGTTGCAAGCTCATGTGGTGTGATGTGATGTGTGCGTGTGTGCAGTACAAGGATGCATTCCAGGAATTGCAGAACAAGCGATCAGATCACGTGTGTGAAATTGTCGAATTGCAAGCGCAGGTGAGCAGCGGAACATGACAAACTTCCCTTTGCTTCTGTACTGCTTCTGCGCGTCGTGTGCTTCGTGTGCTTTAGCTTCTTTCTTGATAGCTCATTTGCTCTCACGAACGCGGCTGCTCACACCACGACGAATACTGACACCACTGCCACATGAACATCACTGCGAACACCACCACATGACCACGACGTGACTACCGCCACCTTGCGCCAGCTGCAAGATGCCGGCCGGGAGATTGCGCGGCTGAAGGCGGAGAATCAGCGGTTGAAGCAGCAGCAGCAGCTCGCGCGGGCACGAGAAGGTGTGGGGGGGGGGCGGAGGAAGAAGGACGGTGAGGGTGTATGAGGGTGTAGAAGAAGGTGTTGCGTATAAGGATGAGGATGCAGTCCACGCGACTCACAGCACACACTCACACACACACTCTCACACGCACGCTCACATTTACACACACACACGCACACACACACACTCGCTCACACACACACACACACACACACACACACACACACTCACACACACACACTCGCTCACACACACACACACACACACACATCACACCACACAGCTGCTGAGAGCGCGGCTGCGGATGCGACGGCGGAACTTGCTCGATCGCGCGAGGAGAATCAGCTCTTGTTTGCACAGGTGCAGGCGCTGGCCCAGTCCCTCCAGGAGAAAGACAGTGAAAAGTAAGACCATCCATCCCTTGCCTTGTCTTGCTCTGTGGTGTTGATGCGACGTGTTGCTGTGTGTGAATGGGTTGAAGACTTGGAGGTTTGGTCCATGTCATGTGTTGCGCATGTACATGACCGTCCTACCCCCCTCTTCCACTCACCCCACATTACTCGTGCCTGCAGGCAACAACTTGCCGAAGAACTTCACGATCTCTTCAAGGATCACATCAAAGTCCTCTCACAGCAGTCAGGTGTGTGTGTGTGTGTGTTGTGTGCGCGCACTTGCTTGCATGCGTGCCGAATCACTGGCTCATGTCCTCCCGCCTCCCAATAACAGCCCCCCCCAACCACACACACACACACACGCGCGCGTGCGTACTCTTTCTGTGGTCAGGCATTGCTGCTTCTGAGACGAAGAAAATCCAGCACATCTCCGAATCCAACGGCTTTGGCGAATGCGTACGCATGCACATGTTGTGTGCTGTCGTGTGCTGTCATCACTCGAGAGTCGCCCGCCTGCAACAATCAGTGTGATTGGGAAGTTGCTGTGGTGCCATGCTACCATCGCTCTCGCGTTTGCAGGTCCATTTCTCACTGTCTTGCTTGGGTTTTGTATGTCTTGTTTGGTTCTCAGGACAATTACATTGAGGGCGATTATGACCAGCTCGGTAATGCTCAGATGACACAAAATCACACACACGCACGCGCGCAGGCGTGCATACACGTGCGCGCGTGTTTGCATTCATTCAGCCGACTTGCTTACTTTCATACGCTCCTACACACACACACACACACACACACCACTCCCCTTCTCCTTGCTGCCTGTCAGGTTTCCAAGTGAAGACGCTTGCCCGCATGTACACCAACTCTGCCGAGGAGCAGGCGCGCGAACGCGAACGAGAAGCGTGAGTTGATCTTCTCTCTCTGTGCTTGTTTCTGTGTGTGTGTATTTGTGTATTTGTGTGGTTGTTGCGCTGGCATTGTTTTGCTTTGTGTTGATTGCACATCTCCTTCGCACTCTCACATATCCACACCATGGGTGCACACTGCTTGCTTGCAGGCAATGGTCTGCGCTGCTTGAGCGCTGCGGCACGCGTGTGATGTTCGACGCGTTTCGAGACGTCAAGGAGCTGGCCCGCGCCGGTTTGCCGGTGCGTACGGACATATGCGTGCGTGCGTGTGTGTGTGTGTGTGTGTGTGTGTGTGTGTGTGTGTGTGTGTGTGTGTGTGTGTGTGTTGCGTGTGTGTGTGTGTGTGTGTGTGTGTGTGTGTGCTTGCGTGTTTCGAGTTTTGAGGGTGCAACACGGTGAACACGCCTAGTTGTTGGTAGCCACTCTTTTCCCCTGTCATGCCAATTCTCCCCAGCACGACCCGCCTCCTGCAACCCTCACCATCACCACCATCACCGACGCCATCATGACGGCCACCAGCATTCCCGGCGTGCGCAAGTGTGGCGCCTGATGATTCACTACCACACGCGACGCGACAAACACCGCTCATACAACCCCTCAGATTACGTGCGATCGTGCGTGTGTGTGTGTGTGTGTGTGTGTGTGTGTGTGTGTGTGTGTGTGTGTGTGTGTGTGTGTGTGTGTGTGTGTGTGTGTGTGTGTGTGAGGATTACCTCTCGTCCTGTTTGCTCACACACACACACACATACACACACACACGCACACACGCACACCCCCTTAAACAGGAGGCGAGCATCACAATGTTCACCAAGCAGATTGACCTCGACCTGATGCGAACATTTCCGCATCACCGCGACTTCAGCCGGGCGGACTCGGACGCCGTCCAGAAACTTCGACGCGTCCTCGTCACATTCGCACACAGATACCCAGACGTTGGGTCAGTTGCGTTGTGTTGTCTTGTGCTGTGTTGTGTTGGATGTGTGTTGTGTTGTGTTGTGTTGTGTTGTGTTGTGTTGTGTTGTGTTGTGTTGTGTTGTGTTGTGTTGTGTTGTGCGTGTCTGTGCGCGCCTTCATGCTCGTTTTGGCTGTTGCTCGTTTTGGCTGTTGTATGTGTTTGAGTCCGTCCAGGCCGCGTGCTCTGCTTTTACGCGACCCATCAATGCACAACCCCACCCCACCGACCATCACAACCTGACCCCCCCCCTTCTTTTCGTTCGTCGTTCACAGGTACTGCCAGGGCCTGAACATGATTGCGGGGCTGCTGCTGCTCATTGTGGACGAGGAGACGGCGTTCTGGGGCCTCGTGGCCGCCGTGCACCACTTGCAGCCAAAGGACTACTACACGTCGTCCATGCTTGGGGTGCAGGTCGACCAGCGCGTGCTGCGCGATCTCCTGCGTGTGCGTTTTAAACGCATTGCGTCGCATTTAGAACGCCTTAACACGGACTTCAGCCTGGCTGCCTTCAACTTCATGCTCACCATTGGCATTGACGCCGTCCCCATCTCCACTGCTCTGCGCATCCTCGACTGCTTCTTCTGCGAAGGCAACAAGGTGCACAGGCTGGGCTGTATGCGTGCATGTGTATGCGTGTGTGTACATGTGTGCGCGCGTGCATGTGTATGTATGTGTGTGTGTGTGTGCGTACGTGTGTGTGCGTGTGCGGTTGTCTTCATCCCATTCGCACCACACCCCTTGCCTCGTCGCAATGTTGTGTTTCAGGTCCTGTTCCGGTGTGCGCTGGCGATGTTCGCCATGCACGAGAAGGAGATCCTGCAGTACACAGACCGCATGCAGCTCTTTGAGTTCTTCAGGTGTGTGTGTGTATGTGTACGTGTGAGTATGGGTATGTGTATGTGTGCGTGTGTGTGTGTGTGGGTATGGGTGTGTGTGTGTGTGTGTGTGGCTGCCTCCGTGTGTTTACTTGCACGCACGCTACCTGTACGTTCCTGCCACTGGACAAATTCACATCTCTCCAACGGCGCAATTCTCTCTCCAGAACAATGGGCAAACGACTGTATGACGTGGAAACGCTCTTTGAGTTTGCATTCAAGGTACGGAAAGCCCGTGCATATGTGCGTGTTGGAGGGTACTGCACAAGCACACTGGCTTTAGTTGTGCGCTCCTCTCACTCACTCGCACGCACGCACATACTCACACACGCACGCGCGCGCAAATCTGCCTCTGCAGGTGTTGAATTCGGGCATTCAGGGGTTCTCGAAGCAGCTCATCTACAAACTGCGCGCCGACCACGAGTACGCAATATGGAGTGTGCGCGTTGCACTGTTGAGGACGTGGCGTGTGGTGCATCAGTGTCGTTGCCAAGTACTGCGTGCGTACGCAAAGACTAACGCACCATCACATGCACACATGCACGCACCTTCACACACACACACACCATCACATGCACACATACATACACACACACCATCACATGCACACATACATACACACACAATCACACACACACCATCACACACACAATCACCATCACGCACATGCACACCTGCGCGACAGGTCGGACATCCGTGGCGAGATGGACGTGCTGGCGAAGCGACGGGCTGAGATTGAGCGCGAACACGAAGACAAGCAGATGAAAAGGAAGCAGCAGCAGGAGCAAGAGCAACAGGAGCAAGACGAGCAGCAGCGGAAGCCCGCCTGTGGTGCTGATGGGACAGGCGCGAACAGCGATAACGAAGATGACGATGACGGTGGTGATGATAGTGACGATGAGTTGTCGACCTCAAATGGCCGGCGGCGTACGCGGCGTAAGCGATCGTCGTCCACTGGATCACAGCGACCTCGCACATCCATACAACGACAGCAGCCAAGACCGCAGCAGCAGGAACGAGGTGAACGCAGGCAGAGCGGGTTTGGGCGATCGCACGTGCTGCACACCGACAGCGATGACAGCGATGCTGTGGTTGTGGACCCGTCAACGCCGCGCGAGTTTGACAGTGTTTCGTTTGCTGCATTGCGCCAGCAGGCAGGCACTGACACCAGCGACGACGAGGGGGATGATGGTGCGGACGGTGGTGTGGGTGAAGGCGGAGGGCAGAGCGGTGCTGGTGATCGGAAGCAGACGGCTGCATGTGTTGTTGATGATGGAGTTCAGAAGCTGCACCTGTCCCGCTCTGGCGACAACGCGGCCTCTGCCGACGTTGACGTGTGATGATTGATGTCATTGGCAGTATGTGTGATAGAATACACGCATGGTTCTGTGTGATCCGTTCGACAGCGCTGCTGATAACACATTGAGCTGCCACATTCAACACTGAATCGCCCACACTGAATCACACACGAACGACAGGAAAAGTTGCGAGGTGGGCGTGGTTGTGGTTCCTCTTTTGTGTCAGTGCTTGAGCTTCATTTCCCACAAACAAACACACACACACACACGCCAGACACACACACACACACACACAAACACACACGCACACACACACACACACACACACACACACACACACAACAAGTTCCACGATGTTCTCCTGCTGCCGCCGCCCCTCGTCCCCCAAGACCATCGTCGCTGGAGATGGAGATGGCGACCCAAAGCCACAGAAAGGAAGCGAGCTCGCCTCTTCAACGGCCGCTGTTGACGTGGTGAATGAGACACCAGCGTCAAGCACCGCGAAGCCACAACAGCGGCCTTCCAGCGAAGAAGAGCAGCGAGGCGACAATGGCGAAGACGCAAAGGGCGTGACACAACACCAAGCACACCCAGCACCGACCACTTCGACTACTGTTTCTGCCGAGGACGAACATGCGATCCGCAAGGAAGGCGTGTCGCCTGCTGGGCTGCGCCAGTTCCTTGCCGATCTCAAGGCCGCACACCCAGACACGTACCAGAAGATGACCACCAAAGAGGCGTGCGACAGCGTGGTGATCCCACGCACCAAGGCGAAGCAGTGTGCGTATGTCGACGTCATGGATCCACAGCACGTGGGCAGGAAGGCGACCGTGTTTGTGTCGCACGCGTGGCGCTACAAGATCGTGGACGTGATTGGCACCCTCCTGGAGTTTGCAGGCGAGCAAGGCGAGGACGAAGTACGAGTCTTCTTCTGGTTCGATCTCTTCATCAACAACCAGAACACGGACATCACAGCCAACCTTCCTCAAGAGTGGTATGGAGCTTGTGTCTGTACCTGTGTGTGTGTGTGTGTGTGTGTGTGTGTGTGTGTGTGTGTGCGTGTATAATGTGTGTGTATGCATGTGTGTGTATGCATGTGCGTGTGCGTTGTTCACTTCCACCTGCCACCTCTGCAACCCATGCCCTCAACCTCCCGTCCTTGCCCCAACCCCCCAACCCCCAACCCCAACACACACACACTGCAGGTGGAGCACGACGTTCAAGGAGTCCATTGCTGCGATCGGCCACGTGCTGCTGGTGTTGACACCGTGGCACGACCCCGTGCCGCTGACACGGGCATGGTGCCTGTGGGAGATCTTCTGCAGCGCAAGTCAGGAAGACGTGCAGCTCACCATCCGGCTGCCGAACGCAGAGCGAGACGCGCTGAAGGAGGCTGTGCTGGAGACCTACGAGGCCGTAACAGACGCAATGGTGCGCGTGCAGGCCGAGCGGGCAGATGCCTGGGACCCCAAGGACAAGGAGATGATCTTCAAGGCGATTGAGGACGGTGTTGGCTTCCTACACTTGAACAAGGTGGTCAAGGACCAGATGCGGAGCTGGTGCCTGCAACAAGTGGCGGGTTTTGTTGAGGAATCAGAAGACGTCAAAGGTGGTGGAAACGCAGAGCCAGCACTCTTGTGCAACAAGGTTGGGTTGTTGATGGACAGCTTTGGTGAGCATGACCGCGCCATCGACTACTTCCAGAAGAGCCTGCAGATGCAGCTCGACACGCTGGGGGAGAAGCACCCACATACAGCAACTACCTACAACAATCTGGGCTGTTCGTACGACGACAGGGGTCAGTATGACCTTGCCATTGAGTACTTCCTGAAGAGCCTCCAGATCAAGGTGGACACACTGGGTGAAATGCATCCAGGCACAGCAACCACATACGACAATTTGGGCCTGGCGTACAAGAACAAAGCTGAATATGACCGCGCCATTGAGTGCTACGAGAAAAGTCTGCAGATTAAGCTGGACACGCTGGGGACCAAACACCTGGAGACAGCGGTCACGTACCATAATCTTGGCCAAGTTTACAACAAGAAGGGCCAGTTTGACGACGCCATTGAGTTCTATCAGAAGAGCCTGCAGATCAAGATGGACGCGTTGGGAGAGAAGCACCCCAGAACAGCAACAACCTGCCACAACATAGGCCAGGTGTACGCTGCCAAGGGCGAGTATGATCGCGCCATCTCTTTCTACAAGAGGAGCCTGCAGATCAGGCTGGACACCTTAGGGTCAAAGCATCCCGACACAGCGACCACACATCATGACATGGGCCACGTGTACTATCGTAAAGGCGAACATGACCGCGCCATTGAGTGCTACGAAAAGGGCCTTCAGAGTTACCTCGACACACTGGGGCCCCAGCACCCGCACACAGCCACCACGTACGCTTCCCTTGGTCAGGTGCATGGTGTGAAGG